GTTAACAAAATAGGCTTATTGCATAATATTTTGAAATTTTCAGCATCCTACAATAATTAAATTCTATTTGCTCAACTTTTAAATTATATTTTCAAAATGAGACTACATATAATTTCCTTCACCAGTACCACACTGATGCCAGCAGCCAAAAATTGTCGTTTGGATCACTACAATAGCTTCCAAACTGATATTCTTGCTTCCACATTTTTCATTTATGTTGCCTTGTAATTACAGAAAATATGAAGGCACAATAAAAGTTAATCACAACTCTTCCACCTCGCTCAAACTCCATTAACATTTATTAACCTCTAATCATTTTTATGCAAATATGTTTACTTTGAAAAATAACCTTACCATATTTCTATTCTTTGTGCTTGTATCTTTTTTGATGCCTTTCCTCTAGAATCTAATTCTGTAAATTGTCTTAACTATATTTATATACAGACAAATATGTAAATATATTCAAAATTTTGTTTCAACAAGTAAATTGTATACTATAATTATATTAAAATAATCATGAAACTGATTTTTAATCTAATTACAAACTAAAAAATGGATATAAGTATTAATCCTTAATTATAATAAAGGATAAACTATAATAAATAATAAACAATATGTATTATTTATTTTAGTAACATGTACTATTACCAGAAGATATCTTTAAATCCTTTAAGTGATTTTTACACAAAATGATATTCTTATACCTTTCTATAAGTCATTGTCAAGATGTATTGAAATATATAGTAAAGCTTTTGCATATTTATTGGTAGGCTTTGACTATGTATCTTTTTGTTATAAGTGAAAAGTTTATTTTATATATTGTTTTTGTTAAAGTTAAAACTAAATCCCATTAATTATTTATTTTTCATATATCTAGGTATTTTGCCTGAACTTAATAGGCAAATCTCAGGAACTAAAACTACTTACGTCCATTAAATTCCTTCGGGCACTTAGAGTTCTATCTCAATTTGAAAGAATGAAGGTAAGAGTAACGTTCCTAATCTATAACTTGTAATTTAAAATTACTAAATTTCCACAGAGGTAAAGTTTTGTAATCTCATTTATATCTTTAACAATATTAATACAAAAACCCTATATTTGACTAAAAGTATAGAAGAAGAGTATATTAGCTTTGCTTACTAGGATTTTAGGTCTTTATTGTTCCTAAGATGAAAACTAATAAAAATAAGCAAATAGTTGAGATAAAATATTTTCGGCAGAAATCTGCCAGCCTTGTTCTGAAGTTCCTTTGCTTGTCAAACAAACCTGTGTGAGGGGGACAGTTTGGAATTCAACCCGGGGAACACCAAAGGTTGTGAACCAACACTTCCTGGATCAAATGCCCAACCTGTGCTGCTCCCAGACGGAGTCTCTGGAGTCCGGAGGCCGGCAGAGGAGAGCAGGGGTCCACCCTGCGTCGCAGGGTCCCCCAGCATTTGCTCCCCCGCGGGAAAGGGGTCCGCTGCTCTGCAGGAGCAGGCGAGGTGATGCCTCCTAACAGACGTTCCTGGGACTCAGCTCCCTCTTACTCCTGGCATCCTCTTCCTTGTCCTCCTTGCCCCGGCACTCCAGAGGCGGGGACCGTGCCCCAGATGCTGCTGCAGGGAGTAGGGGCCTGGTGTCACACTGGTGCCTGGAGCAGAGCCCCCTCACAGCCCTGCGGAGCTGGGACCCCAAGAAGGGCGAGGAGCTGGACAGCACAGAGAGTTGACCATAGGTAGCTGTAGATTCCCTGGGTTCCTGGGAGGAGCATTTCCCTCTTCTTGGGAGATGAGAGCCAGAAGTCACACAACATGTACTGGGGTCTGAGCTGTAGTTGAAGAGCTGAAAAATTTTGAATTTGTGAACTTACATGTTGACAAGGCAAGAATGAATCTTGGAAGTTCTTTTGGTTTTACCAGGAAGATGACTAGAAGACTAACTCCCATCTTTGAGGGGCGTGAGGAGCTGATGTACAACATAGAAACCTTATTCCAGGCAGGAATGGCTCACCTCCCTTCAGCCCTGCAGTTACTTGGTTATTCTGGGACCCTCTGTGTTTGGAGACTGAAATTTCATCACATGCTCTTTACAGTATTTGCCACTTATTTCACCAGAACCATTGCCATTTCCCGTGTTACTAAAGATCAGAGTTTCCTCTATTTTCACTGAATGTATTTCTGCAAGTTTAAATATGATTTCCTGCTATGCAGATATATTTCTTAGAAATGTTTTCATTGTTAACTATGAATTGAGCCTAGAAAAAAAATGTCTCTATGCAAACTGATCATAAATGTTTGGTATGATCTTTAAAAACATACAGATACATGGTTTTTAGTAAAATACAGGTCATGACTTAGGGACTTGAGAATTGAATTTTAGACTTAGGCTCAAGTTGCCTTTGAAGAGGAACTATAATTGTCTCCTGTTAAACCTGAAGAAAATCACCTTGAGTTTTGTAGAATTTGATATTTCTTTCATGTAAGTCACCTAGTTAATTTTTCTGAGGTTAGGCTTTGTGTTGGTGCAGTAATTTTTTCAGTTTCTAGGAATATGCAAAAGAGAATTATGGGATCATCATTAATAATTAAATAATAACTAATACAATTATTCATGTCCCTGGTTAACTTAGGAAACATTTTATTAACAGCATTATAGAGGCCCACTAGGTGGTATTATCCCCAATGGTTTGCTTTTAAACCAAAATAAGGAGGAAAATAAGCTGACAAGTAAAATGTGGTTAAAGAGGTCTATAAGCTTGAGGTTAAAATAACAAGACAACTAAATTTCCAGCATAATCATAGCCATAGAAAATGTTTATAGAATATGCTAGGGCTGTAAACTACACATGACCTGTTAACTCAGATTACTGTGGGGTGGGGATTACAGAAGGGAGATATTGGTCAAGGGCACAAACTTTCATTTATAAGATGAATAAGGTCTGGGGATTTCATGTACAGCATGGAGACTATATACAGTTGATAATATTATTCTGTATACTTGAAATTTTCCAAGAGTAGATCTAAAGTGTTTTCACTACTGCCACCACAAACAAAAAAGAACTAGATGTGGTTAATTAGCTTGATTGTGGAATCATTTTATAATGTATACATTTACCAAATCATGACTTTGCACACCTTAAATATATACAACTTTCATTTGTCTATTATACCTCCATGAAGCTGGGAAACACACAGAGAGATGTTAATTAGTGCAACTAAACTAAACTTTGTTACTGTAAGAAATGTTATGGGATAATACCAGGGTTATTTTTTTTTCTCTAAAAAATTTAGATTCACGGGATGAAGAGTGCCTTTAATAGCAAATTGCCTGCACCTAATTTAGAGAAAAGTAGGAAGATATTTGCCAGGGAAGCTGCCTCTGCTTGTTGTAAATTAAGCACTCTAATATTTGATGCCAAACATTCCTTAGAATGGCAGTGAGGTTGTAGCCATGGACAATTCAAGGCCAGGTATATACTAGTAGTAGCCATTCTTAGATCAAGGTCAGTTCTAGATCTTAAGCTTCATTGAAACCTCTGGAAATTCTGTAGTCGAATGATCTCTAAAGAAAAATCACTGAGTATGTAAGGAAGCTACATGATTACAAAATTAATATTTTATGTATTTAATGAATTTCGGATCTTGATGCTCCCCTTGTTGGAATATTTGGGTCAACCATATCCATGGCTTTTATTCCTACATATGTGCAATTACTAACAGGCATAGCGTTTTTTCATCAGAGGCATCAGTGGACCTATCGAAATACCTAAAGTGTCAACAAAGGATTTGTGACTTAGTTTTAGAAATAAAGTCTTTTTGAAAATATAATTAAAAGTGAAGATATTAATTCAAGCCCAGAAAACTAAGGAATATAAGCAAGAAAGTACAGGCAAATGTATATGTATCCAGTAATGACTGAGGGAAGGAAAGGTTAGACTGGTAGAAAAGAAAATCAATGGTGACTCAGAAAAAAGGACAAATAAATGGTTTTGAGGGAAGGGAGTCAAAAGTGTAAATGGTAACTGAAAGATAAATAGCAAAGATTGTCCTGACTGAGTTGTTCAGTTGGTTGAGCATCATCCTGTGCACCAAAGAGTTGCAGGTTTGATCCCTGGTCAGAATGAGTATGGGTGGCAACCCATTGATATTTCTCTTTCACATTGATGTTTCTCTCTATAGCAAAGATTGAAAATATTCTATTGGATATAACAACTGGTTTTACATTTGCCATACCAGCATTAGTGGAGTGATTAAGAATAAATACAATGCTGATTGTAATATTAAAGAATGAAGGGAGTTGAGGAATGAAGGCAGGATTATAGGCTATTTTTGTTATTTAAGTTTAGGTAGTGAATTCACTTCCCAAACTTTCCACTCTGGAGTATCTCACCAGTGACATAGAGTGATTCTGGAAGTGATTTGTGAATTTGTGAGGCTAACTGCTTATTCATGTCTCTTGGAACAGTCTTTTGACTTGGCTTCATTGAGCTACAATCTCTTGGTCTTCTTTTATGTCCTCTGCCACTTCTTTACTTTCTCCTAGATAGGCTGTTCCTCCTGAAGGTTAGAATCCCCAACAATTATGTCTGGTCCTATTTTATTCTCATTTTAGATGCTTGAGAGAGAGAGAGAGAGAGAGAGAGAGAGAAGAGAGAGAAACATCGATTTGCTGTTCCACTTATTTATGCATTCATTGATTGATTCTTATATGTGCCTTGACTGAGGATTGACCCCACAACCTGGTGTCAGCCTTGGTTTCCTCCTTGGCATATCAAGATGATGCTCTCTCCCTAGCCGGTTGGCTCAGTAGATAGAGAGTCAGCCTGTGGACCAAAGGGTCCCTGGTTCGAGTCTGGTCAGGGGCATGTATTTTGGTTGCAGGCTCCTCCCCAGCCTGGGCCCTGGTCAGGGCACATGCAGGAGGCAACCAATCGATGTGTTTCTCTCACATCGATATTTCTCTCTGTCTTTCCCTCTCTCTTCCACTCTCTTTAAAAGATCAATTGAGAAATATCCTGAGGTAAGGATTAACAACAACAACAAAAAGATGATGCTCTAACTGAGCTACCCAGCCAGGGCCTCATATGCTTTCTGGATAATCTTATACATGTATACAGGTTCACTCGTCTTACCCATTTCTTACACAATAGTTGATACACGTGTGTTAAATTCGTAAAATAATTCTTTATTCTAGAATTTATACTAAATAGCTCTGTTGTTCTTTTAATGATTATTTTTACTAAAAAACATTTTGAGATATCTGGATTTTTCATGTATATTTTTAATTGACATTTTTTATTTTGGTTATTCATGTGTGTGGCCTATTAAATCTTTAAAGATAGCTCTTTTTTTGTTATTTCAATATGACATTACATTATTTAGCATTTCCAATTTAATCAAAATAGTTTCACATTTCTTACCTAAAGTTTACATGTTTGCTTTTTATATGCCAGGTGGTTGTGAGAGCTTTGATGAAAACAACTTTACCGGCTTTGAATGTGTTTCTGGTCTGCCTTATGATCTGGCTGGCTTATAGCATCATAGGAGTACACTTATTTGCTGGCACATTCTATGAATGCATTGACCCAACAAGTGGAGAAAGATTTCCTACATACGAAGTCAGGAATAGGAGTGAATGTGAAAGTCTTGTATTCAATGAATCCATGCCATGGGAGAATGCAAAACTGAACTTTGATAATGTTGGAAATGGTTTCCTTTCATTGCTTCAAGTAGTAAGTATGCTTTTGATTTTATTATCTTTTACGTGTGCATCCATATTGTAGGTAAACATAAGGACAAAATGTGGATGATTAACAGAATTGGTTAGAAATTATGTTAGCTATTATTTGTTTATAGATACATGTTTATAAACAAATAAGTTCATTTGGGAAAACAAAAGTGAAACAGTGCCTGTACTTTTTGGAGAAGGCAGGGGAGATGAAGGCAGGACTGACTGGGGAAATGGCAGGTACTGGCCAAACCTGCTTCCATCACTGATCATGTACTAGGGTCACAATTTTTGGTCCAACTCAGGTTACTACAGTTTTATTTCTACTTAGTGCTTTGAAGAATGGCTGCTCAGTCACCCAACATCTAGCAGATGTGAGGAGGTGAACCATTCTTGTCTTGGCTCCCCCATAGAAAAGCACGTGTAATAGCAGTTACAAGTAACTATGATACCTGAGCAGCATGTATTTATTTACTATTTACCTATCTCTCTACCTATATCTCTGCCTTTCTATTTATACTATCTTAAAATATTTTAAGTTACCAACTACAGTTACACTAAGTAGTTTTAAATATTTGTTGACAGACAACATAAATGTAATAATGAAAATGGTAGGAATCTCAGTTACACAATATATTGAAGTGTGGTCAGTCTTACTAATCAAATGTTTTACTATATTAGTAACAAATTGAGTTTTACTTTAATTTGCCATGAAGCATAAAATTTCCATAAGAATTAAACACATGCCGTTTTTACAGGCAACATTTAATGGATGGATAGATATTATGAATTCAGCTGTTGATTCTACTGGTGTAAGTACAATATAATCCTAAAGTCATTGTTATAGTTCAAACAAAGTCATTTTTCTAATTTAAGAACAGGGCACCAGCAAGAACAATAATTAACAGTTAAAAGCAAATACTAGACAAAAGTTATGCTAGACAAAAAGTTGTGCTAGACAAAAGTTAAACACTGTTCAGATTGAGTATTGCATGGACAATGAAATCCTTTCAGGATTATATACAATGGTTGAGGCTCAATAGGCCCACTTGAAGGATTATCAGACTTCATAAAAATTATTAAACCAATACAATACACTTTAAAATCCAGTAAACAAAGCAATGATATCTCTTCACCAATGATCAAAGAGGAAACATACCTCAAGTAACATTGTTGGGTTTTCTTGTCAGAAATTATTTTATAAATCTAATGTTTTAAAAAGTCAGTATCAATATTTTACTTATTTTTTCACTTTTTATACATTTTTACTTTTAAAGAATTTCTTTTTAGTGCAGTTTTAGGTTTACAACACAATTGGGAGGGAGGTACAAATATTTCCCACATACCCCCTTCCTCCACACATGCATGGCCTTCTTATTGTTAACATCGTTCACCAGAATGGAATATATTTTTTTTTACCAAGAATGAATCTATATTGACATGTCATAATCAATAAAAGTTCATAATTTACCCTGGGTTTCACTCAGTGTTGTACATTCTATGGGTTTGGACAAATGTATGGTGACATGTGTCCATTATTACAATATTATATAGAGTATTTTCACTGCTCTAAAAATCCTCTTTGCTCTTTCTCATCTTGTTTATTTTTTAACTTCACTTTTAGGTACATATGCAGCCTGATTTTGAAGTGAATATCTACATGTATTGTTACTTTATTGGTTTTATTATCATTGGATTATTTCTTCCTCTGACTATGCTGGTCGGTGTTATTCTTGCTAATTTCAACAAGCATAAAATAAAGATAAGTATAAATATCAAATGCATTTATAAAAATGTCCTGCTTCAAATAATTCATTTTGGATTCAATTTAATGTCATTTCTATTTGGTACTCACCTAAAAAAAATATTGATGTTCCTGCATATTGATAAACATTGCTAAAATGTTCAGTCTGTACATTGTTTTCTATATTCAAATATGTACAGACAAGTTTAAAAGGTAAAGATTCCAAGTATTTCTGTATGTATATTCATAAATAATGGCATGCTAAGAAATAAAAAAACATTGTGCATTTGTGCAAATATGTGAAGACTGCACTTTCTTCCTCTCAGAAACTTTCAAAGTCTTCAGAGTCATAGCCAGCATAGACATCTTCTCAGTTAGGGTAGCTTTCATGCTAGAAGTAGAGAGTCATACATTTGAATTGGGTGGCTTAAATAGGAGTGCTTAATTGGAAAGAATTCAGAGGCAGAATTGAACCACTTCTTTGGTGCCATTTTCATGTAAACGCTTCTACAAATTGCAAAAGCTTCAGAATTCATCTACGTCTACTTATTCTAACCACAGGGACCTGCTTTTTATTGGTGGAGAAAAGCCTTCTAACAAATTGAAGAAAAGAATCGTTTAATTTTAAAAGTACAAGTTAGCCATGTCAGCAAAGTTTAGCTATGTGCAGATTCTGGTAAACAAACAACTCTGAATCTCTACTAATCAGATGGGATTAGAGAGGTCAGTGGTCAAATATCTAGAAAGAAGCCTTTCTAGGATTCCCTTTCTCCTTTGTCTCGGTCTAACAAGAGGTAGCTCAGTAAACTAAAAATTTAAAATAGGTTGACCACCCACAGTAAGGTGCACCAAAAGATAACTGAATATCAATCACTACCAATATGTATTCCATATATGTTTTATATGGATTTTTGTGCAGAAAATGAGACATGTTTAAACATGATTTATTTAACTGCAGTTAAGCCTTTATTTAAATCAATCATTACCAAGCTTTGCAAAATGCATATTAATATAAAATGAAATTTGGATTAAATATGATTTTAATATATTTTTCTTTCATTTCTTTACGAGGGAGGCTCCAATATTTTTATAACAGAAAAACAGGAGAAACAATATCTAACACTGAAGAAGCTGATGTATGAGGACTCTCGAAAAACAATACCTTGCCCAGGAGTAAGAAAACATCTAGATATTTTTAAGTTTCTAAAAAAGTTTCCTTGATATATTCATCTTTAAAATAAATGTGTTTTTAAAATTCTTAACAAAATATGCTTTTGACAAAAAATTTTCTAAATGTGTTCCTTGACAAAGCTTTTGATGGTCTTGTTTGCTTGGACTGTGTGCTATAATTCTAGTTTGGTACCAACTTAGGCCCTGACTTATTCTCCTATTTATGCTGGGAGGAAAGATATAAATTTAAAGCCTATGTGTGTGTATAGATATCCTATTAATATGATTATTACACCTTTTTCTTCACCCACAGAACAAGTTCCGAAGATTCATCTTTGACTTGGTAACAAGTCAAGCTTTTAACATCATCATTATGGTTCTTATCTGTTTCCAAGCAATAACCCTTATGATACAAAGTGATGAACAGAGTAGACAAATGGATACTGCTGTCCTCTGGCTTCAGATACTTTTCATTATTCTCTACACCGGAGAATGTGTGCTGAAGCTCATCGCTTTCCGTTGTAACTATTTCACGAGTGGATGGAACGTTTTAGATTTTATAGTGGTCATTTTCTCTATTACAGGTAAGATTTTATGTGGTCAGAGTTTCATTTGTAGTAATATTCATTCAGGCAAGTTCTTACAGTTATTTCCAACAGAAATGCTTTACATTTTTGCATTTTATATAAAAATATCTGTACACATACCTGACATATATAAAATATTCAAAAATACTGTTTGAATTAGTGCACAGACTTTACTTCACAGACCACCAGGTAAATATTTAATTACCCCTTCAGCATATCAACTACATTATTTTTTAGGATGACACTAAATATCTTTATATCCTAGTATAATATAAACTTTCAAGCTCACTATTTTCCCTTTCTCCTAATCGCTAAAACTACTTACAGCTTTCACAACAGTCGAGTTTAATGCTCTAGGTCACTAGTTTTACTCCAGAGATCTTAGTCTTTGATTTAACCAATATATTTGATTATCCTCTTTGTGAATAGATACTGCACTATATTCAAAGAACTCATTAGTAAACAAGTTAGTCATAATTCCTGTATGCCCATAGTTTATAATCCTATATAATAAAAGCCTAAAATGCAAATTGTCCCCTCGGGCAGTCATTAGACCGTGAGTTTGTCCAGGAGTTCGACCGCTCGCTATGACATACGCTGATCCCCAGGGGCGGTGTAGAACATGGTGGGCATCAGTGATGCGGCGCTGGCAAGGGGTGCTCAGGTGCTGGGTGTCTGTGAGGAGCCCGCCCGGCACCCGCGCAGCCACTTCCGGGTGAGCTAGGCTGAAACCACCGGGACCTCAGGGTCTGGTCGTGCTCGCCATGGGTTCATGCAGAAGCCAGTCTGCGAGGCTGGCCTGGAGAGAGCACGTTGCCTGCCCAGCTTCTGTGCAGCACCACTGGGTGGCCCAGAGGCCCACACTGTGCCCTGGCCCACGGCATTTGGTCTCACTCTCTGCATCTCCATGTGGGACTTGGGCGCTGTGGCAGAGGGGGACAGGTGGGGGCCTGGGAGCCCAGGTGCTGCCCTGGGCCCAGAGGTCACCTGGTATCTGCCCTTCCATGCCAGATGCTAGTGCTTCCATTGCCAGCCAGGCCTAGGGACCGCACCTGCCTGGGAGCCCAGGTGCTGCCCAGGGCCCAGAGGTCACTTGGTATCTGCCCTTCCATGCCAGATGCTCCTGCATCCATTGCCGGCCAGGCTAGGGACCGCACCCATGCATGAACTTTGTGCACCAGGCCTCTAGTCTATTATAATCTATTAATGGATACAGATAATTAATAGTGCATTTTACTGTGCTATTAAGGATATGAAAAGGTTATATAAGGGATGTTACAGCAGCACACCTAATCAGTAAGTAGAGGTCAGAGAAAACTTCATGGAAAAAGCAAAAGTTAACTATTGGATAAGGAGGTAGCCAAGAAATAATCTAGGAGAAAAGGATTTTAAGCAGAGAAAGGTTTATTTCTTGTCTGCCTCCTATAAGACACATACTAGAATGTGAGCTCCATGAAAATAGGGACAATATTTGATATTTATTGTCAATTACTATTGTGTGTAGTCAGCAGTAAAAAAAAATGTAGATGAACTGTCAGCCCAGCTGTGCTTCCAGAAAATTCACTCATTCACCTGGTAGTGGAAACAGTGCAACTACTATTGACAGACAAGTACAAGAAGTTTGACTGAAAGTGCATAAAGGCAGGAGGGAGCGGGTAGGAAGGTAACAGGAATATGGCATTAAAGAGCCCTCTGAGACTCAAGTGAGAATTACTGAATCGGAAAGAGAGGAAACTGTGGTCAGAGAGAAGCTGTTTGGAGTTGAGATCTCGGAAGGCAGGTATCCTGCGTGGGTCCAGAATGTGGCCATTGATGTAAAATTGTTAAAATTAAAAAAGCCAAAGACTGAAAGACTGGCCTCTGACTGGGTTGTTGATGGTAGGTGCTGAGATGGGAAGAATGACATGAGCCAACTAAAGAGTCCAGTTGAATATAAATGAGGAGGAATGACTAGATCACAGAGTCAGGAATGGTAGGAGATGGTATTGTTAAATGACATGACCCACAAGGAGTTGAAATTAATTTTTTCTAAAAATGATGGAAAAGAAAGGTGTCTGGAAATCACTTTGTAAAGAAAAAAAGGTGCCTGCTTTTTCCATCTTTCTACCAGAAGAAATATGGAGTGGGGAAGAATGAGCTGTCTGCAGTTTAGAGGATGTGGAAAAATATGTCTAAATTAAAGGGGGATACCTCCTGCATAATGGAAGAGTTTGGACGATTGAGGAGAAATGAAAAATTGACCCAGAGTAGAAGGTTCATTAAAACACTGTGAAGATGAGGGTATATATAAGACAGAACATCAGAGAGAATGCCAACATTAATAGTGACAAAGTTCAACAGAAATGTGAGACCTGAGTCTACCAGATGCTGCATGCCATCTCAGTTAAAAGCTTCATGATTCTCCCCTCCCCCACCTTTTCAACTCAAAATGAACCACATCCCCGCCAGTACTTCCAGAGAACATCCTTATGCTTTTTTGTGGCGATTATAATTTCACCTTGTTTCATAGTTCTGTCTTCACTTTCATAGTTCCCTCACTCAACCACTACTGCCAGAAAATCGTTCCAGGCAAAGACTCAGCTATTCAATTCACATTGAAAGCTCCCAAGGGCTCCCATACTGTTTATGAAATAAATAAATTAAATTATAATCTGTGAGTCACTGGATACAGTGAACAGATGATGTGTTGTGGAATTGTCCACCTGAAACCTGTATAATTTTGTTAGCCAATGTCACCCCAATAAATTCAATAAAAAACATTTTTTGTAATTATACGTATCAACCAGATTTTTCTGCTTTGCATTATAATTAATTTAAATGTCTACCTCTAAAGATTACAAAGTCTTTAAGGACAGAGCCACATTGATCATCTTTGCATATGTGCACAACACCTTTATTAAGTATCCAATAAAGGTTGCATTGAATTAAATTTCTTGATTCAACTACAATCAGAAAAAAATGACTACTGTCCTATACTATAGATTCATGCTCTTTGTTATTCCAGAAGTATTTGATACATAATCCTCTTAAGGTGATGATGCAAAGAATTCTCTTCCAAATTTTACTAGATACTCTGAGCATTGCCACAATTATTATTGGGCTAACCCAAAATTTCAATGTGTGCTAAATGCTATATAGGGAGGATGAATAAAATAATCTTAACTTACAGAAAAAAGTGAAATGTAAAATAAGTTTATAGTCCTCTAAATACCATGAAATTTAAATAATTTGATTGCCTGCTTTGTCTTTCCCCACATCAAGGACTACTTCTGCCTCTGATAGGAGAATACTACCTTGTACCTCCTTCCTTCCTGCAACTGATAGTTCTCTCCCGGATCATCCACATCCTGCGTCCTGGGAAAGGACCGAAGGTGTTCCATGATCTGCTGCTTCCTCTGGTGCTCTTCCTCCCGGCACTGTTGAACATCAGTCTGCTCATCTTCCTCGTCATGTTCATCTACGCCATCTTTGGCATGTACAATTTTGCCTATGTGAAAAAGGAGGCTGGAATTAATGATGTGTCCAACTTTGAAACCTTTGGCAGCAGTATGCTCTGTCTATTCCAGGTTACAATATTTGCTGGTTGGGATGGGATGCTCAATGCTATTTTTAACAGTAAATGGTCTGACTGTGATCCTGATAAAATTAACCCTGGGACCCAGGTTAGAGGAGATTGTGGTAACCCCATTGTCGGAATTATTTATTTTGTCAGTTACATCCTCATAGCGTGGCTGATCATTGTAAACATGTACATTGTTCTTGTAATGGAGTTTGTAAATATTGCTTCTAAAAAAACAGCCAAGACCTTGAGTGAAGATGACTTTAGGAAATTCTTTCAGGTCTGGAGGAGGTTTGACCCTGATGGGACCCAGTACATAGATTCTAGCAAGCTTTCAGATTTTGCAGCTGCTCTGGATGCTCCACTTTTCATGGCAAAACCAAACAAGGGCCAGCTTGTGGCCATGGATCTTCCAATGGCTGTTGGGGACAGAATTCATTGCCTAGACATCTTACTTGCTTTTACAAAGCGAGTTGTGGGTAAAGATGTGAGGATGGAGAAACTTCTTTCAGAGATGGAATCGGGGTTTATCTTGGCTAACCCTTTTAAGATCACATATGAGCCAATTACAACTACCCTGAAACGAAAACAAGAGGCAGTCTCAGCAACCATCATTCAGCGTGCTTATAAAAGTTACCGTTTGAGGCAAAGTGACAAAAAAACATCAGATATCCATATGATAGATGATGACAGGGAAGTTCAAGCTACCAAAGAAGATGCCTAATTTGATAGAGTTTAGGAAAATCAACTATTCAAAGCCAGATCTAGTTCCATTTACCACCTTTTCACCTTCTTTACATATCTCAAAAATGTTAAAAGTTTAAGACAGAAATAAAAGCAAAGATTAGAGATAGTAAAGATTTCACTTAATCGTCAATTGTTTACAACTCATGGAAGTTAAGGTTGTTTTCACAAGATTCCATATTGAATTCACTTTTTTACCCCTCTGTGTTCAATGTAACCAAGACAACACTTTAAATCACTGTAGTGAATTAAAGTGCTTTAAACTTCCCATTTGATAACCCAATGCTTGGATTCTATATATGATTTACATAGTGTGTGCCTCCTCTGGAGAATGGGATGGAGGTAGTAGAGATTAGTAACAAAAGGGTCTTACTTGTATATTTTATGCATATTTTAATTTGATGGGATTTAAGTCCCCTCTTTCTTAACATAGGATAGTGTTTAAAAACAGTACAATGCCACAGGCCATTAAATCATGAACTCAGCTACACAGATGCCAATTGGGGAAGAGGAAGGGCAGTTCTTAGAAAGTGCCTTCAAGATCAATCACAAAGACCTTGGGCTGAATCAAACCACATTTGAAAAAGATTGATTGGAGCTCGGTTTTTGTTTTCTTTTCTTTTTGGTATGAGGAAGGGGAATTCCTGTTTTTCATTGTTCTTGGATTACTGGTTTCTCGTCTCTGGCTAGTTCCACCTAAGCCCAGCTCTCCAAAAGAATTATTCTTTTGGAGAAATAAAGGGAACACATTTTTTTTAAGTATACATTTATTAAAATGATATAATAGGCAATATGTTAATAGATTCAAGTCTTACATTATCGTAGACCTGATGTATTTTACTATTTATCCATAATGTAACATTGAGTATATAAGATCTGGCAAATGCATATAATAATTGAATTAGAAGAGTCAAGGGCTACCATTGTGTCTAGGGATTTTCACAGTGTCTTGATCCTGGGAAACTGGCCAATTTCATTGGGAAACTGGCCAATTTAAAGTATGTTTTGCTGTATTTTATGGTTCTTTATACTTTAGAGAAAGAAAATGATCAAAGAAACTGTGAGAACTCTGAATTAGGAGATCAAAATGTAAGTTTGTTGTTGGTGGGATTTTATAACATTAATGTATGCAAGTTAGTTTTCACTTACTCATTTATCTTTTCAAGTTCTTTGCTGTTCCTATCTCATCCCATACATAACTACTCTGTAAAATGTTTTATGTCTGAAACACTTTAAAACCCTAAACATTAATTTTTAAGTATTAAAATTATTTTTAAAAGATAGGCACAAAATTGTTTTTTGATATATTCATAAAAATGCAGTCACATCCATGTAGTTCGAGATCCTGAAATTTATTAATTTTGTATAAAACTTGCTATCAATGTGCCTATAAAGTCCTAAAGGATTCAAAACGAAAATATCTATACTGTAAGCTTAAATGACAAGTTTTCAATATGTTGTATGACATTCAATGCCATTTCAATATCAGCAATTGTATTTTATTATGAATGCATGATCTTGAGCCTTAACTATTATAATCTAACTATCTTTGCTCCTCAGAAATGTATTAACCTGACCAAGATGCCTTTGGGAATCTGATCCCCTAAGCAAATGTAACTTCAGGGTTCTGTTTTTTTCTATGTGCTCCTTCCCTTTCTCCTCCTGTTCTCCATCAGGTATGTGATGGGGACCATAAGAGATCAGTGTTAACTTGGTAACCTGTGGACCTGGTGCTTTGTCTAAGCTTATCAGTTTTCTGTGTCTTGGAAGTGCTTTAATGCAGATACCGCTTCCAATATTTAAACTGAATCTTAACTTGCTTCTGTAAATTCCATAAAGACCACAAACTGATTTTAGTTTGAAAATTATATCTTTTACTTGTAAACTGTGTTTGCCACTAACCTACCAATGTTGTGTAAAGAATTATTTTTAACAAAGTCGTACAATATATTCTACTTTTTAGATACTTTAGAGAAAATAATAAATGCAACCTGTTAACCACACTAAGTTTTGTTTCTTTTCTTTGGCAAGTCAGTTTGGCAACTTTCTAAAATAATAATAAAAAACCTTTATAAATGAATCTTACATTATAGTTTATTCATTCAGTCTCAAAATTCAAAACTGGGAAAATTTGTGCTTTCTTTTTATTCACTTAATTTAGTAAAATTAATGTTAGTGAGCTTACCAGAGACCCCTACATATTAACAAAATGTTAAAAACATTCTTTTCATTGAAATCATAATAACTTCATTATATTTATTTCAGTATTATTAGAATCTGAATGTTGAAATTAGAAAAGAATGTTGAAATTAAATTTATTGGTATGCTATTATTTCCCAATATTTGCTTCTTTAAAAATTGTTTCTGGTCTTCTAATAAATATAATTACTGAAATAATTATAATGATTTGGAAATGACTACCATTTGTTAAGCAGACTGTTATGTCCAGCCTCATGCTAAATATTTATCATGCATAAGCTTAGCATTCACAGCACTCATGAAGCAATGATAATTCTCATTTTATAGATGAAAAATATTTAAGATTAGGAAGTTATAAGAACTTTTATCTAACATAGAACTTGTAAATGACAGGCCAGGACTCTAAACCAGGTCTAGTCTTAGAGCCTTAATATTTAATCACTCTGTACAATAACTGTCTAGTAATAAATGACCTCGGTAGAGACAAAGAAGTTTAAGATTAATGAAATTGCTGTATAGAGATAAGGAGTATCTCTCTATCTCTATGTTTGTCTTAGTCTCTAATGCTATGTACATCACCATGTCCTCTTCTATGGAGGAAATTTAAAAGTAGAGACAATCCTACAGGTAAACCCAGAACCTGGGTAGGTATACATACATACATACATACATACAAAGACAAATCTGAGACAAAATAACTTACTGACTACTGTGGGGAACACATAACTATATAGCTGATTATAATATGTGGTAATTTGTATGCCACTGTTATAAATTATAATATGTATACGGAAAAAAATTATGAGCTCCGAGTGGAAATTAGTAGAGCACAGGTGGTTAGTAAAGCACACCTCTGAAGGAAAACAAAGATTTTATCAATTAGAAAAGAAGGTAAATATCTTGATTTATTGATGGTGTTGTTGAGTGTATCTCCTTGCATATTTTAGGTAGTGATTTTTCTGAGTATTACTATCGACCTAACAATCCATCTACCTATGAATTACACAGTCTAAAAATTTCAACATTTTACCGCTTTGAATGAAGTGTGGAAGCCCCAGTAAGGTCCCTTTCTCTTCTTTGTTTTAAAATAGCTTTGTCATGGGAATCAAATGGTGCTATAGTTTTTGTTACAATCATCAAATGTAGTTTTAAAACTCATGAGGAAAAGAAAGTTTTTTTAATGTACCCATATTTATTCTCTTCCCCTTATTCCTTCTTCCATTCTGATGCTCCATTATTCCTTCCTTTATCAATTCCTTTTTGTTGGGAAAAAAGATCTGTTTAGCCAATCTTTTGAGTAAGTGATTTATTTCTTTGTAATATTTTAATATTTATTTCATGTTGAAATGATAATATTTTTTATATATTGGGTTAAACTGAATTCTTAAAAACGACATCTGCTAGTAATATTTTTTAGCTCTTCTTCCTCTGAGAATATTTTTATTTCTCTTTCATTCCTAAAGGATAAATTTATAGATTATAGAATTTGCACTTGGCAGTTCTTTTCTTTTAGCACTTGGAAAGTATTGTGCCACTTCTTTCTGGTTTCCATTACTTCAAATAAGAAATCCATTATCATTTGCATTGGTATTCTGGATAGGTGCCATGTTATCTCCCTCCAGCTGCTTTCAAGATTTTTTTTGGTTTTCGTTTTCAAAATTTTTAATTTGGTATATCTTTAACATAGATTTCTTTGTGTTTATTCTGTTTAGCATGCACTCAAGTTTTTGGAATTGTAGATTTGTGTCTTTTACCAAATTTATGACATTTTTAGTCAATACTTTTTCAAACAACTTTTTAGCCACTCTTTTCTACTTTCCTTCTGGGAGTGTAATGACATAAATGATGATTCTTTAGTTGTTGTCCCACAGGTCCCTGAGTCTCATTTTTTTTCCAGTCTATGCTTTCTCTCTGTTGTTCATTTTGTGTGAATTCTATTGTTCTGTACTCAAAGACACTGATTTTTCTTCTCTGTCATTTCTATTCTACTATTGACCCCTTCTATTGAGATTTTTACTTCTATTGTCATATTCTTTTAGTTTAATAATTCCAATCTTTCTTATAAAATCAATTGCTTTGGAAGTTTTCTATTTTTTAGATTTCTTTCAAAAGAATTTTAATTGCCCTAACCAGTTTGGCTCAGTGGATAGAGCGTCAGCCTGCGGACTGAAGGGTCCCAGGTTTGATTCCGGTCAAGGGCATGTACCTTGGTTGCGGGCACATCCCCAGTAGGGGGTGTGCAGAAGGCAGCTGATCGATGTTTCTCTCTCATCAATGTTTCTAACTCTTTATCTCTCTCCCTTCCTCTCTGTAAAAAATCAATAAAATATATTTTTAAAAAAGAATTTTAATTGATGAATGCTTTAAAATACTTCTTAGATAATTCCAACACCTGATATACCTTAATATGTAGTGCCACAAATTGTCTTTTCCCCTTCAGGGTATGATTTTCTTAGTTCTTGGTATGCTGCGTGATATTTTTTTCCTCTGAAATTTTGTCTATGTCTTGTCTAACTCACTTTAGATCCAGATCAAGAATAAGCCTACCGCCAAAACTGGTTTGGCTCAGTGGATAGAGCATCGGCCTGCGGACTGAAAGGTCCCAGGTTCAATTCCGGTCAAGGGCATGTACCTTGGTTGCGGGCACATCCCCAGTAGGAGATGTGCAGGAGGCAGCTGATCGATGTTTCTAACTCTCTATCTCTCTCCCTTCCTCTCTGTAAAAAATCAATAAAATATATTTTAAAAAATAAAAAAAATTTTTTTAAAAAGAATAAGCCTACCTGGGCTGCCCTCTACTTTTAGATCCAAGGTGAGTAGTCTTCTGCTGTTGGGTGCTGGGATAAAAGATGTCCTTCATTATGGTGTCTCCATTCTCCTATGATAATAGTATTCCTGTTTCTTAGCTAGTCACATGGCCTTCTGAAATAAATAGTGCATTGCATAGTCTCTTTTTTCAGTCTAGGCTGACCATGTAAATAAGTTATATCCTTTTTAACTTCTTTCTACTGATTGAAATTTGGATGAAGGTGGGCAATCTGTTATGAAACAAGTGAAGCCACCAATCAATGAATGACAACCAATATGATAGAACAACTTGGTTCATATAATCATAAAGTAGCAGGGAATAGCCACATCATATTTTATCTTTTTTAAGCTATCAGGAAAAATAAGAGCCTTTGAGGGACACTTAGGTGATCGCAAACCTTTTCCCAAAACTTCCAGGCAAAGATCCAAATCATTAAAAAAGAAATACACACCATTGTAGCAGTATTATATTCTTTAGAGTTGAAACCTGGATAATTGTTATACAATAGTGCAATAGAGAACACAGCAGTCTAATATATCCCATGGGCCGTAGTTTCCAATCCTACAATGACTTTCACTTCTTTCTCAGTACAAATCTCTCCAAGATTCCTAAACAACTGAATTGGAAGGGAACTATCATGAGTCCACAATGTAGTACAATGTGAAGCAGGAGTACATTTTAATCTTTGGGTACATCATGTTGTCTCAGTGTGTGAAATAGCTATCTTTGCTGAATAAATATCACCTTTCCATTGTCTATCCATCATGCTTGATAGTCTGGGGAAGAAATGTATTTGTTCTCTCAACTGAGTGAACCTTCTTTAGATTAAGGCAAAGCACTGACATATTTGGGGCAAGCAAGACTGCAATACCAGCTCCAGTTTGATTAAAGACGTGTTGATTTATTTTCTTTTACATCACAGAAATGACTTAGAATCATCTCCAGGATGTCTGCTTTTCTCCTGAATCTTAAATGAAATATATATATTTTGTTCTCACATTGCTGTCTGCAGAAGAAAACACTGCATCCTTCCAATGCACACAAAGATCCCACCGCAGTGCAACCCAAGCAAAACCAGCCAAGGTCTGCCAGAGACCTCTGCTGCTGCAGCGTTTGACGCTCACAGGAAAGGTCTCATGAATAATGCACAGTTATAAACAGGTGGCCATGTCAGGATCTCTTCACTTAATGCTATTCCCAAACACACTCTGAGGAAAGTAATTGGATGCCTTCATTACCAATTGATCTGTACAGGAAGAAAGTGTGATTAAAAGCTTTGCAAGGCATTGATTGCATGTGCATTAGCTTGCATTTACCTGCATTATTTTCTACTGAAAACCCACGTAAATTGTAGCAATAACCAGAATTGTGAGGCTTAACAGAAATATAAACTATTTTAAAGCCACAAGTATGAGAATTCAGAGCAATCCTTCCACTGCAGAGTATGTAAAAAGCAAAGGCAGCTTATCATGAGGCCACCTTATAATTGGGTAAGTGCTTGTAAGGCAGTGTCGACTGCTGATGTATTACTGATGGAACATCTTGCAAAATATGAATCCACTCCAGTCCATTTTCTTAACACCAGTGACAAGAACCGTCAGGAGGCTCCAAGCATCTTCCTGGAACAGCCATCATTAATCTCCAATATGATCACATTACCTTTTTATTATTTTACAAAAAATAATGGGCCTTGCCCACCCCCAAAATCACATACTATTTGTTAAACCTACAAGCCTTTGTGCGTCCAACCAGTCAGAATGATCGACACAACTGTGAAAGTTAACTACTCTTGGTGGTGAGGGGGAGGAGGTAGATGTCCCTTATGACCAAGTCATACACTACAGATATGAGCTTCTTGACTCCTTTATACAAATCTTCTTTAACAAGAAGAGTGAAATGTGGTATACAATTTCAACTATACCATGAATTATTATTATTATTATTATTATTATTATTATTATTGTAAGTATCTATGGACATTTGTAAGGGAAGACA